TTACACTAAGTGCTCAACAATGTCACTTAATCTGCACAAGATTGTGAGCTAAGTATCATTGCTATGTCCTTTCTAAGCTCCTTGACTCTCTTAAAAACTGCTTTCTCCCCAGTGCCCAGCTTTGTTCCTGGAATGTAGTAGGTAATAAATAAGTCTGTTGACTAAATTAATGAGTTCCTATTTCACAGATACAGTAAGGGTTCAAGAGGTTAAATAACCTGTTAAAGTTACACAGCTAATAAGGAGCTGAACTGGTATTGGAACTCAGATCTTGGCTCCCAAGCATACACTTTTAACTACGTCTACTATCCCCTTCTGCTTCCAGGGCTTTTGTCTCTTATCTCTGTCCTCTCTATGGCCTTCTCTCTGCCTATGTCCAGCCTAAAGTTTGTCCTGTACTATAGATGTTAGAACTCTTGTGTGTAAATAATATAAACCCTATTTGAAAAAGCTTATGTAAGGGGTGGGGGGCTTATTATAAAAATGGGTATGTCTCACAAAACCTAGGGATAATGCAGATAGGCCTCAGAAACAAATGAACCAAGGCTTGATTGCAGCCAGGATTGTTCATCTCACCTTCTCCAGCTCAATCCCAAACTCTCTGAGAAGGTACACAAAGGATGGCTCCTGCTACAACCATGAGAATAAGGTAGAGATGATTGTAGAAAAGGGGTGTTGGGGAGACAATCCAATAGATGTTCACCTGTAGTCCTCTTGGCTGTTCCATAAACACATGCCATTTTCCCCATATCTACAATTCCAAGAAATACCCACATCTAACATAATCCATAAACCATAATCCATGCAAGTCATGTGTAACTATATCCAGAAGCAATGTCATGGCACAGACATACCCCTTCCTCCTCTAATTCAGTGACAATCTTGATCCTACAACCTGTGATAAACTAAACTGCCACCAATAGATCTAATATGCAATATTAGAGAAATAATTAGATAACTACAATCAAAATTCCCTTTTAGGAAAGGGAGGGAACACACCATTATTGACCACTTGGATATGAATAAAGGAAACAAATTACAGGCCTAGAAAAACTCATGGGAATCAATGTATTGACTCAGCTTGCTCAACCAATCTGTACTTGGGCCTAGGACATGGTCTGGAAGAGCAGTGATTCTCAAACTTTAGCTTGCATCAGAATCACCTAGAAAGCTTATTTAAACAGATTTCTGGCCCCATCTCCAGAGTTTCTGATTCAGTAGGTCTGGGGTGAGGCCGAGAATTTGCATTTTAAACCGTCCCCGGCTTATGCTTATGTGCTGGTCTGGGGACTGCAGTTTGAGAACCACTGCTCTGGCGGATCAATCATGGTCCCTGTTCACCAGGTTTGGTTTTCTAGTGATACATCTTCCTTAGAACCTTACTTGACTGCTGTTTGATTTCATTTGAGGGGACTCATTTTAAAGTGCTGATAACCAGTGCCAAGAATCTTGTCAAGTTATGCTCTTTGAATCTTAAGATCTGGTAAAGGGAATAGCCTAGGTCATCCTTTTCCAGCTTCTATTCACACCCTACCTTAGCACCCTTCTCCCTGGCATTCTGCTCAAAGTCTCTGGTTCAGAGCTTGGATAAGAAACAGTAGGCTGACTTGAAGTCTGTGCAGCCTTTCTTTTCTAATCTGTCCTGGGAATGTTACATTTGCCCCTTCTCCCTTGAATTCCAGTTGAATGTATTTACAGAGGAAGGTATCATCATACTTGGTGGGAGTTGAAGAACAAAAGTGCTTTGGAGGTATATACAGATAACCTCATTCCAACTGCCTGGATGCCAGTTTCCTAATCAGTGAAACCTTTGAAGTGAGACTGAGAGTTTCACTGCTATAAATTAACAAAGCCTATAGATATCTGGCCCTCAGCAATTGCAGATCTCTTCATACAGGCAAAAGGGCTGCTCTCTTTTGAGTCCCAAGAGAAACAGCTGCTTCACTGAAAAATAACACTGCTTTCCATCAGCCGACACGGGAGATCTCCGATCTGTCAGTTCCAGGTTTTCGGGTCTATAATTTGCCACATCCCATCTCTGCTACCAGTTCTTGCATTAGTTAACATTCTTTTGGTTGTAAGTGGTTTCTACTCAACTTATCTGAAACAAAAATAGTCATAGTAAGGATTGTCTCACAGAAACCAAGTGCAGGAATGCCTCAGGAATGATTTAGAAACTGAGACTTGAACACAGTGAAGACTCCCTGTAAAAATGGGAAGAATCAAGATCAACAGCCCAAGGCTGATTCCTATGAAGCAGAGGTCTGACATACCTCCACCCTCCAACCTTTTTTACCAATTCTGACACCAGCTGTCCCTCCCATAGCACTCTACTTCTGGGTTCAATAATTCATTGCAATGGCCACACAGAACTCACAGACCGTACTCATGGTTATGGGGTTTATTAGGGAAGTAACAGGTTACAATTCAGGATACAGTTCTTCAATCAGGACAGCTTCTTCTCAGCCATGCCCACAGTCAGGCCTCTCTCTCTGGTCCTCGGCCCCTCAACCTGGCCTCTGCCCTGCTCAGGCGAGTGTTACAAAGCTCTTTAGCTCCACCAGTAAGTGCCTGGAGGCACCCGGCTCTGCCGGTAAGCCTCGGCCTGAAGGTGCTCAGCTCTCTAGCTCCGTAGGCTGGGAAGCTCACTGCGCCGTCTCCTAAAGATCTGGTTCTGCTGCCTCTGTTGCCGCCATTTCTCTGCCACTGCTTCTTGCCACCTTGCCATCCCCAGTGTTACAGCTCTCTCTCTGCCGCCTGGGTCTAGGAGGGTCTCAGCGCAGGGATCCCAGGTGCAAAGGATGTGCTCCACTCCCGTCTCTTCTTCTTGGTGGTAGTCAGGTCCCCCTCTGCTCTGGGATTGGCTCTCTTTTAAATCTGACAGGTTGGCAAAATTGACCAATCCCTTCGTTATAGTTCCATACATCTTATTTGCATGGTTCCACCCCCACAAGGGTGCCATGCATCTTATTTGTATTATTAGCAAGCCGTCAGTCTTAGTTATCTAGTGCTGCTATAACAGAAATACCACAAGTGGATGGCTTTAACAAAGATAAATTCATTCTCTCACAGCCTGGGAGGCTAGAAGTCCAAATTCAGGGCACCAGCTTCAGGGGAAGGCTTTCTCTCTCTGTCAGCTCTGGGGGAATGTCTTGTCATCAATCTTCCCTGGTCTAGGAACTTCTCAGCAAAGGGACCCCAGATCCAAAGGATGTGCTCCCCTCCTGGTTCTTCATTCTTGGTGGCTTGAGGTCCCCCCCATCTCTCTGCTCTCTTCTCTCTTTTATATCTCAAGAGATTGACTTAAGACACAACCTAATCTTATAGATTGAGTCCTGCCTCATTAACATAACTGCCTCTAATCCTGCCTGATTAACATCCTAGAGGAAGCATTTACAACACATAGGAAAATCACATCTGTCTCAATCAGCTGTACTTATAGAAACATGACTTTTTTTTTTTGCTATAACCCTATAAATGGGAGGAGGGGGGCCAACTTCTAGAAAGGAGGCTAGGCAGACAACCATTATACTAGAAATCTTCTGTTCCTTCCTTCATCCCTTTAAGCCACTGTCCTCTCCTTTCACTCTGCCTGTTGTCAAAAGTTACATATGTACACTGCCTCACCATCTACTGATTCTTTGCCAGTCTAGCTTGTTCTATCTCCACTATTCTTTAATCCCTTATTATGAATTCTTTATGGAGCTCAAAGCTTTTTCGGCTTTTGCATCCTAACAGACTGTTCTCAGACCTCATTCATCTTGACCACTCTTGAGTTCTGCTCCTTTGAGTTCTCTGTCTGCCATTATCTCCCACCTCTCAGTAAGTTCCAAGCCAGATCTGGCTACTATCCATTGTTTCAGAACAGGATATATCTTGTTTTCCATCCTATTCTTGCTGAGAAAGCAAGCCCCAAAAGTTGGTTAGAAGAGTGGTGCTACATCAGAATGATCTGAGGAGAATGCTGAAAATAGATTTTTCAAAAGATTATGATCCTGTATTCCTGGAATTGGAGCCCTTGCAGCTATTTTGAAAAAGCACCGACAGACTGATACACAATGAGGTTCAGAAACGAAGGCCCTAACCGTAAGATCTTGTAGCTCAGTGAATACCAGAAAGGTACCACTTATAGTTTAATTGTGTTGGTGCTTATCTCCCTGACTAAAGAGATCCTGCAGGTACGGGATATTCCGTTTCACTTTGTATTTGCCTTGGCCAAATAAATGTGTTTTCCTCAAATGGGACCAACAACTCTTCTTCAAGGAATTCCATAGCTAAAAGTGGGTTGCTACAGAAATGTTTGCGGCTATTATTCTTATGTTTCATATGTATTCTTTCTCCTTCATTAACAGCTAGACATATTTTTCCCCTGTGGGGAAAATTCTCCCTCCCTGGAAATTTTAGCTTGCTTTAACTGAATTCAATCAATCCACTCTACATTTTTCATGATACATCACTCCCAAAACTCATTTTCGTGTGACCGGCAGTAAACAGCTTGAAGCAACTCGGGATGCACGTAGTTGGAGTGCAAATCCTAAACACACATTACCACGCCCCGCCCCTTATGACTGTCTGTGCGCAAGGGCTGACGGGTGGTAGACAGGTGGTCCTGGACTGCATCCCGTGGTCGTTGAGGAAAAGACTACAACTCCCAGCGGGCACCTCCGCCCCGCCCGGCTTATCCTCCACCGGCTAGAAAGCAATATATATGGCTCCTGGAAGTGGAAGGAAGAGGTTTCGCCCTCCCTTTAAAATGGTGAAGAGGAGGGGCCGGCGAGAAGGAGAAAGAGATATGCCTTCTTTCTCCCATACCCTCCTGAGTCCGGCCTGCATCACCTCTCCTCATCCAAATCCAGTCTGGCCTCCTTCCCTCCCCCACCTCATTCCCTTGCTTGCGACCCCCCGCCCCTCGCCCTCCGTGTAGCGCGCCTGCCCGCAGCTTCGTTCCCAGAACGCCGCTGAGCCTGCCAACGACCCTGTCTTCTGCCCACCGACGAAACATGGGCGTCCAGGGCTTCCAAGAGTTCCTGGAGAAGAGGTGTCCCGGGGCCGTGGTGGCCGTGGACCTCCTCCCATACTCGTGCGCACGGTCTCGCGCCAGCAGCACATCCAGCTGCCACCGATAGCAGCCCTAGCGCCCGGGGTTCCACGCGTTGCCGCTGCCAGAGGCTCCGCATCTCAGCAACCGCCGCTCCCGCCCGCTGCCTTGGGTGCCTACTCCGGGGGCACGGGGCCAGCTCGGCACCATCATCCGGCTCACCTCCACCGCCACGGTCAAGCGCAGTCCGGGCTGCACCCGCTGCCCCTTCGCTGCCCGGAGCCCGGGTGCTGGTGGACGTGGGTTCGGCACTGCTGCGGCTCTACGGCGGCTACCAGACAGATTGGGTGTGTGGCGGCCAATGGAACGCCATGCTGTGCTACTTGTCAGCAGTGTGCCAGGCTTGTGCATATCCTGGCGGCGACGGCCTGGAGCTAGCGGTCATGTTCCCTGGGGCCCTGAGTAAGGACCGGCTGGCCTAGTGGGGCCGTCAGTGCCAGGCCGAGCGGCAGACAGTGCAACTGATTGTGGGACATGTGGGCGACAAGGGCACCCCTCCACCACAGGCCTGGTTCTTAGCACCGGTCTGCCTGAGCCACTGCGTGAGGCTAGCTTTCAAGCGCTTCCGGGTCAAGGTGAGGGAGGGACCGGATCTTAGCATATCCCACACCTATAATCCCTCCCAGCTAAACATCTAACCACTCACCAGCTTACTGCCTTCCGTCTACCCTACGCACTCACCCACCCAGTCAGCTAACCCACCTGCGTAACTAACCGCTAGCATTTTGGAGCCCTCGTGACGCGGTGGTTAAGAGCTAAGGCTGCTAACCAAAAGGTCAGCAGTTGGAATGCACCAGCTGCTCTTTGGAAACCCTATGGGGCAGTTTTACTCTCTCCTGTAGGGTCACTATGAGTCAGAATGAACTAGAGGGCAATTGGCTTTTATCCACCCCTGCATACTATCCCTTCCTATTTGCTCACCTACCTAACCACATTTCTATCCATGCCATCCTAATAGATCCCTTTACCTTCGCTTATCCAATTGGCCCATTCCTAGATTTTAGCAGAATTTAGTCAGAATTTTCTCTGTACCCCTCCCCTACACACACACCTATCCCCTGCTGTCTTCTGCCTTAAGCCAAAATGCCTTTTTCCAGATTTTTCCAGTTGGCGTCTCTCTTTTGTATGCAACTTTCCAACCTCGAAGCAAATCAATTAAACAGATGTAAATTGAGCACCTTTTTTTACAGCTTTTTTCTCCCTGTCCAGACCTAGTGCTTCTTACCCATCTGTCCATTCAACTTTCTTTTTCCTAATATGCTTCTACTTCCTCCTGCTTTAGCCTAAGCAAGCAAAAACTACACTGCTTCACTCACAGTTCAACAAGTATTAACCCACTGAGAGGGGTTTGAAAGACATGTGAGACATGGTTGGAAAATCAAATATATAAACACATGAAACATTTATTTAATGGTATAAGTGTGTATGTGATTATGCTTTATGGTACAGACAGTAAGTACAGTACTTATTGAGGCTGGGGAGGTAACTATGGGCTAAAAGGATGGGTTGGATTTGAATGGGTCACAGGTTTGGGAGGAGGTTGCTTTAAATGGGAGAAAGAAAATGAGCAGAAACAAAAAAGGAATGTAAGGCCCCATGGGCAGTTAAGTCCAATCTCTGCGTTCAGTCGGGTCATTGCAAATAAGGCCTGGGTAACAGCTTGGCAGCATCCACAGTTCTTGACACCACTGCTATTGCTCTGTTGCTTTCCCACACTCTTAGGTTTCAAGTTTCTATGTGTAGGGAATAGCAAGGCTTGAGAAGTAAAGGAGATGGGCAGGAAGAAGAAAAGGAATAGTACAGGGTTGGATAGGATGAAACCTCAAACCCATAAGGCTCTTGGGGGTGCTCACAGGTAGAAGACAGGACAGGGAATTGTAGGAATCACAAACTAAAAGAATAATACAGGGTGGAGTAATGAGGAGGAAAAATCTCAACTGAGAGACAAAGGCCTGCATAGAGAAGCTTGCAGTGGCCCTAGAACTTGTGGCTAGAGTCCAGTCATGCTTGACTCCTTGTGCCCAGCATCAAATCAGCACCTAGGCTGGGTAAATTATAGCTGTTTTTAATAATAAAAAAAATCAATCATAAAATATCTCAAATATACAAAGTAGAAAAATAATATAACACATTTTAATAATATTTATGATCCATTTGCTTACTCTCCTGACTGAACATTTTTTAGTAGATTCTTCATTTATGGCCATTCTTTTCACATTGTTTTCACTGCCACCACCCAAGCTGTAAGGACTTTTAATCTCATGTGTGTCAGATTCCATTGTATGCACTTTTTTTTTAAGTATCTCATTTGATTTCACAGTAACCTGTGAAGCAGTATTACTGTCCTCTTCTAAATGAGGAAACTGAGGCACAGGAGATTTAGAAATTTGCCCAAAGTCACCCAGCAATAAGTGGTAGAGCTGCAATTCTGGGATTCGTGTCCAAGAAGTCTGGCTCCAAATCTCATACTCTTAACAAGAGTGCTCTAAAATGAACCTTTCTAAAGTGCTGCTGTGGTTAGATCGTTCCCATACTGGACTAAACTTTTTCCTGGCTCCCACCTAAATACAAGTTCAGGATATTCATTGATTCATTTTCATTATTCATTTCTTGGATGCTTGCTATAGGCTAGGTACCATGAGGATTCAGAGGTAAATAAGGGGATCCCTACACTCAGGAACTCAGGGTTTAGTGAAAGACCAAAAACAAAGTTGCAGATACTGTGCACTAATTGCCGTAATCCACTAACACCAGTTACTGTTGAGTCGATTCCAATCATGGTGACCGTCCCCCATGTGTGTCAAAGTAGAAATGTGCTCCATAGAGTTTTCAGTGGCTGATTTTTTTGGAAGTAGATTGCCAGGCCTTTCTTCCAAGGTGACTGAGTGGACTCCAACTTCCAACCTCTCAGCAGCCAAGTGCATTAACCGTTGCTCTACCCAGGGACAGTTGCCATAATAGCAGTATGTAAATGATGAAAAATGTGACCCCTATAGGAGGCATAGCTCAGACAGCGTGGAGGTCTAAAATGGCCAGTTGTAAGCTCTGAATAGATTTTGGTTGGTAGTTGTCAGGAGACTGGAGAAGTTGCAGAAGAGATGGACACTGAGTTTGGGCTTGTGGTTTCCAAACGTTTTTGTTCATGCACATTATTTGTCAAAAAATTTTGAACAAGCAACCCTGATATAGGTATATGGGCCTACTAAAATTCTTGTCACACTTCATCACGCAATGTCTCATTTTAAAATTCCAGCAGTTCATCAAAAAATAGGATGGATTGACCCAATGGGTGGATACGTGATAAAGCAAGTATAGTAAAAATGGTAGAATCTCGGTAGTGGATATTCAGATGTTCACTGTGAAAAATATTTCAACTTTGCCATATGTTTGAAGTTTTTCATAGTAAAATGTTTGGGGCGGGGGGAGAAATCCCAGAAGTCCTCTTAAGTCCTTAGAACCACTCTTTTGGAAATATGTAAATCTTATTCCCCATGCTAGATTATAAACAAACTCTTTGATCTTTTCATATTCTCCATAATGTCTGCATATTTTGCATGCAGGATACATTTTTTCCCTGAATGACTAGGGTGGTGATCCTAAGAGAATTAATTGTAGGGGTGTCTTTTAAAAATTAAAGTTTGACTCTTAATATAGGGGATTTAACACCAGATCCAAAATTGCATGTGTAAAGTGTTTGTAGATATAAATGCATGGCGTTCTCTCTCCTGATTCTGGTTAGAATCAGTTTTTGGTTGTTGGAGTGATGGAGAACTTCCTGGATTGTAGCACAGACTTCAAAAGTATTGGTTAATAACTGTATTGCAGATTGGTGGGAAGGCACAATTGGGCCTGTGCATACCTTGCTTATTGAGTAGTCTGGCCCTAGGTAGAGGGATTAATAATAGATAAATTGCAAGATTGTCTGTTTATCTTTACACACTTTAGAACTTCTCATGAGAAGATTCAATGTATATTGTGGGGATTGATTTTGTCATTTGGTTGATTTCATTTATATGCTCTAGAGACCTTTGTAAATGCTAATCACCAATAGCAGGGAAATTAAGTAAACCTACAAATTTCTAGCCTGGTCTCTTCTGAAGGGTCTCAGAAGTAGAGCAACCTAAAGCAGTTTTAGAATATGGTTCAGGAGATGATGTGGGGTCATTAAGAGGATGAAAGCTTTATTTAAATGGTTAGTGTGAATTAGAAAAACAGATAATTAGCCTACCCAAAGCAATTTACAAATACAATGCAATCGCAACCCAAATACCAACAACATTCTTTAAAGGGATGGAAAAACTATTCATTAACTTTATATGGAAAGGGAAGAGGCCCCAGATAGCTGAAGCACTATTGAAGAAGAGTAAAGTAGGAGAACTCGCACTACCTGACCTCAGAACCTGCTATACAGCTACAGTAGTCAAAACAGTCTGGTACTGGTACAATGACAGATACGTTGACCAATGGAATAGAATCGAGAACCCAGATGTAAGTCTATCCACCTACAGTCACCTGATCTTTGACAAGGGACCAAAGTCCATCAAATGGGGGAAAGACAGTCTTTTTAACAAATGGTGCTGGCAAAATTGGATGTCCATCTGCAAAAAAATGAAACAGGACCCATACCTCACACCATACACAAAAACTAATTCAAAATGGATCACAGACCTAAATATAAAGCCCAAAACTATAAAGATCATAGAAGAAAAAATAGGATCAATGCTAGAGGCCTTAATACACGGCATTAACAGGATACAAACCATAACTAACAACACACAAACTCAAGAAGATAAGCTAGATACGTGGGATCTTCTAAAAATTAAACAGTTATGCTCATCAAAAGGCTTCACCAAAAGAGTAAAAAGAGAATCCACAGACTGGGAAAAAAATTGGCTATTACAAATCCATCGAAGGTCTAATCTCTAAAATCTACAGGAAAATCCCACACCTCTACAACAAAAAGACAAATAATCTTATTAAAAAATGGGCAAAGGAAATGAACAGACATTTCACCAAAGCAGACATTCAAGCAGCTAACAGACACATGAGGAAATGCTCGTGATCACTAGCCATCAGAGAAATGCAAATCAAAACCACAATGAGATACCATCTCACCCCAGCCTTACTGGCAGGAATCAAAAAAACAGGAAATAACAAATGTTGGAGATGTTGCAAGGAGATTGGATCTCCTATGTACTGCTGGTGGGAATGCAAAGTGGTACAATCATTTTGGAAAACGATATGGCACTTCCTTAGAAAGCTAGAAATAGAAATACCATATGATCCAGCAATCCCACTCCTAGGAATATATCCTAGAGAAATAAGTCGTCACACCAATAGACATATGCACACTCATGTTCATTGCAGCATTGTTCACAATAGCAAAAAGTTGGAAACAACCTAGATGCCCATCAACAGATGAATGGATAAACAAACTATGGTACATACACACAATGGAGTTCTACGCAGGATAAAGAGCAACGATGAATCTGGGAAGCATCTCACACATGGATGAATCTGGAGGGCATTACGCTGAGTGAAATAAGTCAATCACAAAAGGACAAATATGAGACCA